AAGTTTAAATAAAAATATCTTTGCAGAGCACTTACAAAATTCATTACCATAGGTCCATCTTACCCTACTTGGATTCTGAATTTTTTGTCCACCTTTGCTTTCATTCAGTCCTTCTCATAGCAAATCCAATGTCAATAAGGTTTTGGTCAAAATGAGAACACTGAGAGAGGTGTCACCGCACCTGGAGAAACTCAGGTCGTCCTAGGGAGAGGTGGGGAAAGTACAGCTGCTGAATCCCATTTTTCTATCTTTGAAGTCCTCTGAGACCCAAGTTTTTAAAACAGCAACAACACTGAACCATTTGGGGAAAATAAATTTTTATGCTTAAATAGTCTCAAATGCAAGAAAACTTTTTGCAGTTTTACTTTCGCTGCCCACCACAACTCCCAAGATCTTTTGTGGTGGTCAAAAATCCAGCCCAAAATAGCTCCTGTAAGCAATGTATCATCAACTGTGTTTCACTGGTGCTGCTTTTGGAAGGTCATGGGGTGAAAATTACCCTCCCCATGCAGTTGCCCATTTTTTGTCCTAAAACAGGACAATGGAAACTGCATAGGTTCAGCAGTCACAGAATATTGGCAATTAGAAAATGTCAATTAAAAGAGAAACAGAGAAAAGGAGGGATGCAATGGCCTGTTGATGGAGGACAGAGCTGGATGACAAGATTCAGTAGGGGGAGTACAGTGTCTGCAGGCTTACTTTACAGAAGTTGTGAGACATGTGTTGCCTCCAAGGACTCTTTCCATATACAAATTCTTCTTTTGCATATACTCTAGCCAAACATTTTTTTCTGGTAATAGCACAATATTTTGCTTTTTAACATTATGCCCTTAAACCTTCATGAGTATGACAGAACTACTTTCCCTTGCTCTCTCTCCAGCAGTCCTTGGACATCCCGAAAACTGGCTTCAGATGTTTTCCCAGCCTTTCAGAACAGGTTTTTAGGGCATCTGGGAGGCTGCAGGGGGAAGGGGACATGGTCTGTCTTCTGGTTGTTGTAGATGCCCCTTCCCCTGTTCTTCCTGTTCTTTCTTATTGCTGTTGTTGTTGTTGTTGTTTTGTGCTGGGCACAATATGTTAAGAGCTCTTGAAGGGAAGTATCTCCTATTCCCTAACTCTTTTACTAGCAGATGAATGTGGCATGGATCTCAAAAACATATAACATAATAAATCTGTTAACATATAAGGCACCACAAGACTCCATTGGTTTTGATGCAACAGACTAACAGAGCTAACCCTCTAGAGACCAATAAAATAAAATATGAATTTATTAAACTTTATTTTTAAAAGGTGGGTCATTACTTTTCATAATGCATGAGCCCTGATTTCAAGAAATTAAAAAAAAAGGTCCAGTAGCTTTGTTTAATGCTTTTCAAACTAAAAACAAATAAGAAATGTATTTTTAAAGAAAAATCCAAGCAGCCTCCACAATCTTTCTTCAAACATATTTTACTAAGCCCCTATTGCCAACATCATGTCTGATGTATTAAGTTTGCATATTAAGTTTGCCAACATCATGTCTGATGTATTAAGCCTTTTTCAAGCAAAAGGCTAAGGTTAGCTTTATTTTCAGAAATGTGTGCAAATCTTAACAGCTGATTCAGAAAATTGTTTAAATAGTCAAAAACCCTATGCAGTTGGGTACCAATAGCTGTGATTAAATAGGCCACTACTTCGTAAAACATTCCTGTGGCGTTGTCTATGGTGTCATGGACTGTAGTCAGATG